CGCTGTGGGGACTGGTGGCTTTTGGGTAGGCTGGCACCTGCGTTGTCCTGCCCGCTGACCGCCTGGCCTTGCCTTGCAGCCTCCACGGGGTCTGTGACCCAGGTGTCCTCCGTCAGCACTGACTCGGCCGGCTCGTCCTACTCCATCAGCGGGATCCTGGGAATCGCCTCCCCCGGCACCGAGAGCAACAAGCGCAAGCGGGATGAAGGTAGCAGGAGCTGTTTTCTGGCGGGGGGGTGGCACGTGCCGACACGCGTGGCTGGGAGGGACGGGATGGGGATGGGGACGGGGTGGATGCTGTGTGCATGTGATGTGATGGAGCTGCGGACGTCCCCCATCGCCGTCAGCTGTGGTGGGGTTTGGTCCCATTTTGTCAGGACTTTGCCAGGGTCACAGCCCACCTTCGGCATGACCCACTGGCCGGAGGCAGGACCTCTTCACGGAGCAGGGGCTTGTCTGGGTGTTTCAGAAAGCACTGAGGGTGCATCACAGTTTTTAACCAGCCCTTCCGACCGGGGAACACTTCCCTCCCAACAGTGAGAAGGGGAAGAGTCACCGTTGTGTTGCCAACGTGGGCACCTGAAATACAAAATGTCAGAGGCAGAGAATTAACAGCAGAGCTGTCTGCGCTGCCACGGCTCAGCAGGTTCCCACAGCACCAGGGGCTGTTGTCAGCCCTGGGCATGGAAATGAGCATGGTCTGGTTGGGGTTGGGCATTGCTGGTGCTCCTCAGGTCTGCTGCAGGGTTTATGGTCCTGTTTCATCCTGTGTCCTGGGCACTTTCCTGATGAAAGCACTGCTTTGGAGAGAAGGACGTTGGGGATGGAGTGGAAGGGAAAAGGAGAAGTTCTGTGTTGGTGTCTTACAAAAGTGCCTTTAATCTAGAGCATCCCTCCCGTTTAGTAAGAGCTTGCAGAGAGCAGTTGAGGGCAGGACTGTGGATGTGCATGTGGTAGCAGAGGGGACGCCAGGGCAGTGATGCTGTGGCTGCAGAGGGCACCTGGAGGGGGGTGGCTGGCCTGCTCCATGGCAGCACGGGGGGCTGGGGGTCCCCGGTCGCTCTTGGTGGGGCTACTTGCCATCCTGCCTGGCAGCCGGTCAGGCTCCTGCCCCGTGCCACAGAGCATCCATTGCCCCTGGCTCCTGCAGCGCCCGTGCTGGTCCAGTGACACCCTGCAGCCAGCGCGGGTCTGCATCCCCTTGCCCCCGCTGCTCCCCCCTGGGATGGAGGGAGGGGCAGGCGGGCGGGCAGAAGCTGAAGTGGCATTAACCAAACCCCCGGGGAGCCCCAGCTAAAATCGGGTGAGGAGCCTGGTGCCCGAGCTGTGCAGACAGGACTGGGTGTCTGCGGGTGTGCTGCTGGAAATGCCTGGTCAGGTCGCAGCGTAGTGCTTGGTTTACAGTAGCTGGGGGAAAAGCTGCAAGAGGTTTGTGGGGCCAATTTCAGCCATGTGGGGACTGGTCTGATGGCGGGCATGTAGAACTCCCTGTGTTCAGGTAATTGCTGAATATGCCGTTGTTAGTTAACTCTGCGATTGTACATCTGTTTTTTTTCCACCTCAAGGTCACAAGTACATAGATAAATATATGCATTAAAGCAGGGCAGAAATTTTGTATTTTATCAGCCGTGTCAGGCGAGAGGCTGCCTGTGTTGAAACCACAAGGATCTGTCCCAACCCTGTCCTGAAGCAGCGTTTCTTGGGTGCCTGTGGTTAAGAAGAATCTCTAGTTTAAGCCGGAGAAGATTCTCTGGCTAAGAAGCAAGAAGGTCCTGAAATTATAGAGGAAAGAATTGAATGTTTCCTTGGAAGGATCAGAAGCAGAGCCGAGAAATTCCCCAGCTTTTGCCGGTTCAGATTTAGAAGAGAGCATGTGGTTTCTAAAACAACCCCCATCGTTTCGGCAGGATGAGTCATGATTTTCGAGCTCGTAAGCCGGACAGTAATGCTGTCCTCAGCAGACCATTTAAACTGCTTTTGTAATAGTCTCAGGGCTGCAGATTTGGAGAGGCATAAACAGACACTGCAACGCCTTTGTGTGTTTGAGGGGATCCTTGGAAGCATCCGTGTTGCCTCCACATCCTGCTCAGCCCAAGGTGCCTCTGCAGGGGTGGGCACGAGGTGCCCACGGAGGCATCCCAGGGCTCCACGCTGCAGGTGATGGGGAGGTGGATCACGCCTGCTAGCCTCTAATGTGAAGAAGAGAAGCATGTCATCTAATTATGGCCTGTATCATGACGCAGATGCACAAGGGGGCAGAGTTAACTTTACCATTTCCCGACTTTGGAGAGCCGGAGAGAGGCTGCTTCCATACTGAGCCCCTCACACCATGTCTTTTGCCATCTCGCACCGTTTCTCAGTAGCTGCTGCAAGGTGTGTGCCCCCAACTCTACCCCCCTGTGTACGTGTCCCAGAGCCCGAGGCTGTGCAGCGCCCGTCCGGCGGCCCCGGCTCCCCTTGGCTGGGGCGTGCAGGGGGGTGGACTCGCCCCTCCGGCTTCCAGCTGCATTGAGGGCTTGGCGTGATTCATTACCCGGTTTTGTTCTCCTCACTCTTGACATTTTTTTAGCAGATGTCACCAGTCTTTAACCCAGTGGGGAGCTTGCTGGGTAGCAACAGGGGCAAACCAAATCAGACAGTCTTTATTGGTTTATATAGCTGAAGGTGTCATTTTTTTCCCTGTTGTAATACGGGCTTGGAGCAGATGTGCCTTCGTGGGGGATCGGTTGCTTTCACTTCTGGTTAAAGGACATGCTACTGGAGAATGACACAAGAAGCAGGCTGTTCGGTAACGAGGCAGAGAGATACGGTCGGCCGCTGCAGCCTCAAGCAGCGGAGGCTGCTGGGCAGCGATCTCCCCGCTTCGCTTGCAGACAGCCTCCTCCGAGGCCTGGGGCTGCCCCTTCCCTGGCCCCGCAGCTCGGGAGAGGCTGTAGAGGAGGAGGTGGGTGGCAGGGGCGTGCAGAGTGATCCTGGTGAGCTGCCTTCTAGCAAGCGGGCTGTGCTTTCGGGAAGCCAAGGGTGGGCGGTGAGACCTTGAGTCAGAACAGTCTGAGTGCTCCGTCCAGTGCTGGCAGCCGGCGGCAGCGCAGGGGCCAGTTTCACCCCACTGCCTACCACTAATCGGGTGGCTGGTGGTGGTCCCGTAATGGGACACCTGACAGGGACTGCGTTTTTGGGAGGTGCTGAGCATCCCCTGTCTGGAAGTCAAAGCTTTCGGAAGTGGGATTCAATAATCCTTGGCGAGCTGTGAGAGGAGGGCGAAAGGGAGACGCGTCCCCAGGCAGTTGCACAGCAGCCCAGGATGGAGATGGTGTGTGGAGCACGTTTTGGGGATGAGGGAGGTCGCTGGGCTGTGTCTGCCCTGGAGGAGGCTCTGGGGATCCTGTGAAAGGATGGGGCAGGAAGGGCCAAAGCAGGGAAGGCAGAGCCCACCCTCCCTCCTCCCTTCACTCCTCTCTCCCCTAGCCCTGGTCTCCATCCTGCGTGCGGTAGAGCTCTGCAGGTGTGAGAGCTTAAGCCCACAGAGTGACGCTCCCGGCATGTTCGTGCTGTCCCCACTGGGAGGGATCCTGAGCAGGCACGTGTGCCAGAGGCACGGGATGTGGATCTCACCAGGGATCTTCTCGAGGGCTGGAGTTGTCTCTGCGGGAGAGCGGCGTCTCTCCATCAAAGCAAAGACAAAGCACAGGACTCTGGCTTCCACAAGAGCTATGTGCTCTGTAAGAGGCTGGCTGTGTGTGCTTCCCCTTATAACCACGCTCATCTTTTGTGGAGAAGCACCACCATGCCTCGTGCAGAGCCCTCTGCTTGCCGGTCTGGGAGGGCTGGGTCGCTCTGTCTGAGCACATCACGTCTGTGCAGGAGTTCTGCCTTTGGCATGGGCAGCAGCGTTTGTGCTCTGCTCCAGCCGACAGTCGCTGTCAGGGCTGGCCTGGGGGCCGGGGGCTCAGCTCCTGTACCTTCGCAGAGGGCTGTGGCTGGCTCTCGCTGGGTTTATGAACAGGGGTTGGAAGAATTATGTGAATCCCCGTTCTCACACCTCTTCCTTGTTTTACACAAAATG